TTAATTGAATATAATTATGCAAATTGCATTTATTTTTAAAATTTAAAGTATTTAATCTAGTTTATTTTCTTTCGAAATTAATTTAATTGTAAAGTAAACCTGAAGAGCAGATATACCCGCCTTCAGTTTCTTTACTGCTATTGATACACATTTCGTAGCATGGCATGTGTCTTACGCATATAAGTATTGGCATAGTTTGCCCACATCCGCTTACTAGGAGTTGTTCGAAGAAGGGAATATAGCGAATATCTGCAGCTTTAGCTCCGCTGTTGCTGTCAAGATGTTGCTAATGCAGCCGCGACGCGCCGTGGCAGTGGAATGTTTCATTTTGACCCGCCAGCCGGGTACAATATCCCAGACAAAGGCGCAGACATGGACATGCCACGTACGTATAAGAGAAACGCGAGTCAGATCTATATGTATATCACTAACTGTATGTATATGGGATTTGCATTTGCATTCGCATTCGCGTTCCGTCGCTGCCTGGGGACTTTGGACTTGTGGACTTCTGGCCTGTGTGGCATCAGCTGTCTGCCGCCGCTTGATTTCTGCTGGCATTTGGATCCCTGTTGCTAGGGCTCCCGAAATAGCTGCAGTTGACAAACCAAATTTCCAGCCTATGTCAACGACGCGCCGCACAGCTAGCCCAAAAATAGATCGTTCGCTCAGCCCTCCCCCCAAAAAATGCCAGACCCGTCAGTCCCGCCAGTCCCGCCAGATAGTCGCTCCACTTACAACTACAACTTGGTCGCTTTTCGCATTAAGCATGTCAAACGCTCGTCTGGGCGCGTCTGGCTCATCGTCGACTGCAATTAATAAAGGTGCGACATGGCAAGCTGCTCACTGATCGCCTCTTGCCTCTCGCTTACCGCACCGCCCCACCCTCTTTGCTCGACGAAAAAGAAAGAAGAAATGTGTCTGTGTCTGATCCGAAAATAGCAGCGATCTCAAATGAGATGTCTTTCTAGAGGGGGCGGCCGGTCTGTTCCTTCCTGTTCCACCCCGTGGCTGTTAATTTGTCCCGCCCCGACCGGGCTGGCGACTTAAGTGGTAAGCTAAGATCCTACCCAGCAGCCAGCCAGCCCCTCCACTCGCCCAGTCCCCCTGCTGGCGACCCCATTCGTGTTATTTATTTGCTGCGTCTGTTTGTCATTTTGGAGATTGGGCCAACGGCCCAACCCCTAAACATAATGCCACCTTTTTGATGGCTTTGGCTCAATGCTGAGGGGCTCACCTGGAGGTGGGGCGTGTCGGCACTGCTGGGAGCGATTATTGATCTCTAAGCATAGATTCGTTACATTTCCGTGACTATTTTTAGTAGCGACAGCATTCCCCAAAAATGAAAACACTTCCGTTTGCCCGTGTTGACACTGTGTGTTTCAAGGGTGACCAAACTTCCGAAATATCTCATAAGACAGAGACTTTATGGCATTTGCTAAAGCTTTAAGTAAACATATGCTGGATTCTTCTATATAGCTCGAAGTATAGAGGCCGTGGGACATTGGACAAGATTTCAATTTGATATTTGCTATATAAATACTTTTCCGAGCGTGCTCATTGTGGGACAAACTGGACATTGATAGTGCGTGGCTGAAAAAGACTCGATATGTCTGATAAGGCAAAGACTTTATGGCATCTACGACAGTAAAAAAAACATATGTGGTTGATATATATGTGGTTGGCATAATGTGTGCGAAACAAGTTACTGGGGCAAACACTTAGAACATTATATTTGCTACAGAAAACAATTCTTTGTTATTCCTTTATCTTACTTTAAGGTCTAGAGACAATGGAACTTGTCGTAAGGTTTTGCTGGACATGGGGTATACAAGTAATGGTTAGTTCTATAAGCCAATTGTATATATCAAGGATCAGGACATCGAAAAACTCTTCAAAAATGTTTAGCTCCATAAGTCAATTATATATTTCTAAGGTCTAGCTCACTGAGGTTTTTCATATCAATACCCCTCAAAACCAGGCTTAGCTCACTGAAGTCTGACGTTGACTTCAATGAACCCTTCAAGAATTATTAGTTCCCTAAGGCTATTGTATATTTCAAAGGTGTAGCTCTCTGAGTACGGTTGCTCTACGGCGGACAAACTTTCAATATTAATTATATTTATTATATTATATCATATTTTAACTGATTTGCTAGTCCGACTTGGCATTGAAGGATAAGACTCTTGCCTTGTTTATGCCGACTCTATGTAAAGCTAATTCCAAGACATCGAATAACCACTCACTGTTTACTAAGCATTTCATATCGTAGCACTTTTCTGAGCTTCTTATCAAATAACTTCTTTACCATTAGAAACCAATGCTTGCAGCTGTTTCGATTGATTTGATTTCAATTGCACTTTTCATTAATTCCACTTTTTATGGGCGCTAGAAATTGCAGCTGTGGCTGCTACCTAGGCCAGCTGAAGAGGATCGGGTGCTGTCATGTGGCGCAAACATTTGGCATCTGCAGTTGAGTGTGTTTCTGTGCATGTGTGTGTGTTGTGCATGTGTGTGTGCCCAATCGTAACCCCATTAAAATGTCATGGAATTTCACTTAAAATTCCTAGCAATTTTCCCCATTTTGGGCAAACTGCTTTTTGTTTTGTTGTCGCTACACGAAGCGGGCAGGGAGGAACAGCGGGGTGTTGGGTAGTTGGAGGGTTGTCTCTCTAGTCGGCACTGTACTGCATGTTAGCTGCTGAGGCAGCTGTGGCAAAAACTTTGACTGCCATTCCACTATTGCCCGACGCATTGCCAGTGCCATTGCACGTGGAAATGAAGTGCGTGTGGTTTTCGCTTAACGTTTTGCATTGCATTTCGTGAAGAGTGCTTACCGTCATAGAGTGGGGTGGGTAGGTGGTGGTGTGTGTGTGCTTTGCCTCGCTTACACACAAATGGCAAATGGAGCCTGTGAATATGCGTAAGGCTGCTTTTGCTTTTGATGTTGTTGCTGCTGTTGCTGCTGTTGTTGCTGTTGCTTTTGTCATTGTTGTGGATGTTGCTGCAGTTGCTTCAGTGATTGCCAGCGGCAATTGCTGCTGTAGCCATGCTGCTGTTGTGGCTGCTGCTGTTGTTGCTGCTGCCATTGGTAGCAGCTATTGCTGCTGCTGCCATTGCTAGCAGCAGTTGCTATTGCTGCTGGTGTTGCTGCTGTTGCAGCTACCAGTGCGGCTGCAGTTGTTGGTGTTGCTGTTGCCATTGCTATCAGTGGCAGCTGTTGCTGCTGCTGTTGCTGCTGCTGCTGTTGTTGCCACTGCTATCAGCAGCAGCTATTGCCGTTGTAGCTGTTGTTGCTGTTTTCCTGCCAGCTGGACGTCCTTGCGCGTTTGCTTAACGTTGCTGCCGCTGTCATTGATATGCCGCTGCGACGTGCAACGTCTTCGCTTGCCTCGTTAATTGTCATTGCTTCGCTTTAAGCCGCTCACCAACAATTGTTGCTGCTGTTGTTGTTGTCGTCGTAACTGCTGTGCTGCTATTTTCACGCGCGGTTAGCGGCCGTAATTGCATTGCCAAGTAAACGACGCACCGCGTGTGAATAGCGAGTGTGTGTGGGTGTGTGCGTGTGTGTGCTGGTTGTGCATTGCGTTGGACCAAGTGAAATTTATTTCAACAGCCCCAGCCCGGCCGTCAGCAAAATGTCGTTTTTGGCAACAGAAAACAAAAAAAAAAAAAAAAAAAACTTGGGCCATGCCGCCCAGGCGGCGCACAGTGGGCCACAGGCTGTCGAAAATTGCCGCCAATTCAATTAGATGCGCGTTACGCTGCTCGGCGCATATTAAACCAAAAACTTCCTCAGGCCACACAAGTGCAGCGTACACGCGTGCAAGGGACCGTCTCAAAAAGTAATTTCAGCTGCGAGCATTACCTGACATTTGAGCCACTTGCTATGCTCGCTCTGGAATTTTGAAACGAGTATATGCGGTTTTCGGTATATGTGAGTGTGTGGGTGAGAGGAATGAGGGGGGAGTGTATGTGAAGCAATCAGTGCAGTTTGCAGTTTGGTATGCACAGGCTCGGCGAGATTATGTGTAGTTCCTCTCGACATTAAGCTGGTTGCGACTCTACCCATGGATCTATCTTATCAGTTGTTCCACACAGTCATGCCTTAGCAATCAGTTCACACACACACACACACACATACACTCAATTCATTGGCCATAATTGAGCAGAGTTTCGTTGGCCTGCATAGAAGTCTTAGAGCGCGTTTGTTACCTCATTCTGTGACGACGCCCTGGAGGCCGTTAGACACTTATTGAATTTTCATTTTCATTTTGTGAATGGCACTTGAGCCGAGTTAGCTCTGCGCTGGCCAAACAATGAGCACTTGACCCGCTTAGAAAGCAACGGCCCAGTGCTGAAATTTTGCCTGCAGGCCCTAGCCGGCTTTCTAATGGCCGGCGCGCATCGCCGGCAATGATATGAGCACATTCGCAATTGTGCCCAGCATAGAATCGATGCGAAGAAAGCGTACAGTTTTGAATGGACCCAATCGATATGGCATTTTGCATATCATGCGCAAGAGCGGCTCTGCCGATCGCTATAAAAGCCAACGGGCTGCCGGGCCTGGCCAACAGTCAACGCTGAGGGCATCATGACACGAGGCGTACACATTGGGGCTCTGCTGACGGTGTTGGTCGGACAGGCGGTGCTGTCGCTGGGCGCAGCAGTTGCTGGGGATGCGGATCAGGCACGGCTGGCCGGACTCTACGTCAAGGATAGCAATCAGAATGGGCAGCTGCGATTTCTGGCCTCCGGCCTGAATAGCAATGCGAACGGCAACGGCGGCAACAATGGACTGAATGCGGCGCTCAACGAGTACATCACCAACAAGCAGGACATGCTCGAACAGCTGCGACCCATCAGCACCGGCACGGGCACAGGTCTGGGCACTGGCTTGGGCACAGGTCTGGGCACTGGCCTGGGCACAGGCCTGGGTACGGGCCTCGGTACGGGTCTCGGTACGGGCCTGGGCACGGGTCTCGGTGCCGGCAACGGTGCTGGCAACGGTGCTGGCAATGGCGTCATCATTGTGAGCCTGGGCAATGGCAACGGCAATGCCAACGCCTCGCCCATCACTACCACCGGCACCGGCATCGGCGCTGGCAATCAGGCGGCCCTCAATCAGGCGATCTTGGGCTCGTCGCCCGTCAACAGTTTGCTGCCCCAGGTCATTGGCCAGGCCGTGGCCACCCGTGGAGGTGGCAATCGCCGTCGTGTCCAGCAGCGTCGCCGTCGCGGCAACAAGAAGGGCAACGGCAGGCGTCGTCGCAGGGGCAACAGGGGCAAAAATGGCAAAAAGCGGCCGCAAGTGCTCGTCGTGCGTCCGAATCGCGGCTGAACAGCGGCAGCACTCGGCTCGGCCTACACACCGCAATTTACACTAAGCTGTACGACTTTTATTATAAAACCTTTTTTTTTTGAAGTTTATATACGAAATTAAATTATTTTTATTTATTCAATGAAATTTATTAACGACATTATCTATCTTTTTGCTGCGGTCAGGGTATCACCTAGTCGGGGAAACCATAACTAACATAACCATAAACTATTCTTTATCGTTTCTTATCTCTCCCTATATCTTTTTCCCTCTCACTCTCCCTCCCTCTCTATCTCTATCTCTATCTCTATCTCTATCTCTATCTCTATCTCTATCTCTATCTCTATCTCTATCTCTATCTCTATCTCTATCTCTATCTCTATCTCTATCTCTATCTCTATCTCTATCTCTATCTCTATCTCTATCTCTATCTCTATCCCTATCTCTATCTCTATCTCTATCTCTATCTCTATCTCTATCTCTATCTCTATCTCTATCTCTATCTCTATCTCTATCTCTATCTCTATCTATATCTCTA